CACTGCAGCCTTTCCCTCCCTCCTTCCCTCCCTCCCTTGATTTTTCTGTAGGAAGAAGTTTTCAACATTTGGCCAAATGTCAAGAAAAAAACCCTCTTTCAGAAGCCCCCTTATTCCTCGTGGAACAGGGAATATAGGGGTTGCTGAAAGAGCATGTTTGCTCTTCGGCTAAAAAAAGCAGAAGCACAAACATGTTCTGGATGCAGAAGACTTTTTCTGGGATACCTCTGGTATCTCGGAAAAAAACTCCTGCAGTCTAGCCGTACTCACTGGGTCGAGACAGGAGCTGCAGTCTCTGAGGTGGGAATGAGGGATTTGGGTACGAGAAGGATGGGGAACCTGTTTTGAGTCAGGGAGTCACTGATCCACAGAAAAGTCAGTTGGGGCCACACAAGTGAGATGCAAAAAAAAAAATAACCACACACCCACACACCACCACACACAAACCTTCTCCAAAACCCCCCAACCCTCACTAATGTGGCCCCAACAGTGCTGGTGGGAGCTGAGGACATGGTACTGGGGAAGGATGCTAGAGACGGGGACAGGGTGACAGTGGGGGCTGAAGCAGGGGACAGGGTGCTAAGGCAGGGCACCAGTGGCTGGGGGGACAGGTAGCAGGCTGTCAGTGGGTGCTGCAGCAGGGGACAGGGTGTTGGTGGTGGCAGGCAACAAGGAGTCCCTGGCACTCGCCTCCTCCAAGGATCCCTCCCCTTCGCAGGGAAAGCACGTCCCAGCACTCTGCCTCCCTCCAGGGACTCCTACCTCCTCCCTCTTGCAGGGGAAGCTCATCCCAGCACTCGCCTGCTCTAGAGACTTTTACATCCTCCCCTGCCTCCCCCACCCACTGCAGGGGAAGCTCATTCCAGCATGCACCCTCCTCCAGGGACTCCTCCGCCTCCTTAGCCCCCCGCAGGAAGTCCCCAGCATGCCACAGACCTGGGTCTGGTACCGCACTAGCTGTTTGGGGGAGGGGGTGCAGCCAGCACACTTCCTGAAACCCCAGAAGTGGCACGCAGCTGCAGGACTCCTATCCACAATGGAGGTAGCACCGGCTTCCTGCAGGGTCACTGGAGGTGGACATTGGGGCTTCTTGAGGGTGGGGGAAAATGGGGAGGCCCCAGATGCCTCACAATTGATGGGTTAGTGACCATGGCTACAGAGGCAAGGTATATATAGTCTCGTGCAGGCCCTCATCTTCTGCACTTGGAGTGCCAGAGTGGGAAACAGCTATAACAGGTGGTCTGGATGTGATTAGTCACATAGTGCTGGTTTAACTACCATTTAGAGTAAGTGTGAACTAAAGGGTTTTTTTTAATTGGCATATTTAGTGAAGGTGAGGTTATGCAAGTTAATCTACACAGATGTGTGTACACAGCAACCTTTGTACTTTTTGACCTTGATATAAACCTGCATCAGAATGATACCACTGTAGCATTTCCATTTTAAAATAACTTGCAATTTTTACCAATTTGCTTCTTGGCTAAGGCAACATGTTAGGCTAAGCACGGATCCAGAGCTCAGTATTTTAAATCAAGTCACTGTAAGCATTAACTCTACCAAGTACTCACTAAAGTTCCATCAGTAGGGGACATTTTTTCATACATCTTCCAAGCATTTGTTCTCACAATGTCTGATACTCTTAGTGTGTCACACAGTGCAATAAAGCCAGTTTCTCCAAACTCAAGCCTAAAAGAGAGTGAAATGGATGATTAACTATCAGGTTCATTTAAATGAAAATGTATCACATATGATTATAAAGTATAAAACATTAGCTAGAATGTGACATTTCTCTGGAGAAAACCCATCTTACTGAGCATCTGCATCCACATCTGATCCACAAACGTCAATGGCTATAAAGGAGATATTCAGTTGTACAGGTCTCTACTTATGACCCCAAGAACCAGGAATGGATTGAAGGAAGGTCAGTGACTAGCAGGGAACCAAAGAAATTGGTTTTACACTGGAATTTCTAATCTAAAACTCATACAATCCTGAAATGCTGAATGCATGCACATCAGATGTCATCTATCTGTAGCAGATAAAGCAGCACATTTTTGTCCTTTAAAGGTGAGCCCACTAGAGCAGACCTTGGAAAGCTTGGGAGCCAAAGAGCTGGAAGCAATCAGGAACCCAGGCAGGCCCCTGCATTACCTTTCACATTTCTACTGCCTGAATCTTAACAGGCCAATCCTACGGTTCCATCAGCATAAAATGCTTAACGCTGCACGTGCCTCTCGTCAGTCAGAGCCAGGTCTTCGCTGTTACATCTCACACCGCAGTGAGTGTGCAGTTGGCCACAGCTGACAGGCCCCAGCACCAGCGAGGCTAAGGGAGCCTTTCGCCCAGCGGGCACCGCCGATTGGGCGGACACCAACGGGCTGTTTTTCCGGCCAAAGCAACCTCTGCCCACGCGAGCACCAGGGACCTACGGACCCGTCTTCAGCAGCGCCCAGTACCGTACCAGCCATCCCCCCCCAAGCCGGGCAGGCAGCCTCCCAGCCACCCCGCACGGGGATGCGCAACCAAGCGGCGAGGGCTTCCGCGTTCGCCAGAGCAGAGCTGCCCTCACCCGGGACGCGCCCGGAGCAGCAGAAAAGCGGTGCCGCGGGGGCTAGAGCCCGGGGTGGAGGAAGCGGCTGGCGACTCTCACCTGGCGGCAGCGGCAGACGGAGGTGGCGGGGTACCGCCTCCCTTGGCGGCGGCTCCCCCCTTCCGGGGGGGCTTGGGCGGCATGTCGGTCGGGCGCGCGCAAGGGCGCGCGGAGCCGCAACTGTTGGGTCCGAAGTTTAAACGTGCACCGCAGAGGGAAGACGAGAAACGGACAAACCGGCTCCCAACAGCGACCACTCAAACCGCGGGAAAACACGTCACGTCCGCCCCGCCCACCGGGCGGAGCGTACGCGTCACTTCCCAGCCCACAACTCGCTTCAGAGAGGGGTGAAAGGGACAGGGAGCGTATTCAAAAGGGGTGGAGCCTGCGCACAGAATGAGACTAAGAACCCGGAAGAGAAACTCGGAGTCTTGGCAACGGAGGCTTGAGCGCAAGCCCTTCGGCCAATCAAGTCACCCGCTTCCCTTAGCCAATAGGAGAGCTGATGACTGTCGGGGCGGGGGCTCTCCCGCCTGCTGTTGCTGGTGGTGCCGAAGGGGCGGGGCTCAGCGGACCTGGTTTGTTGTTGTCAACAGTTTATTTTGCCAGTTACGTTCCTAGAAGCTATAGACGGTTCAGCTCCGTCTGCCTGGGAGCGGGGGCGAGCGGGAAGGGAGGGAGGAGCGAAGTGGCGTTGTAACCCACGCACCTGTGGGATGAGCTGTCCTGTCCGACCACTTACAGGGAGAATGAGTTTGCTCTGCAGCCTTCCTGTAGGGTTGCCAGGTGTCCGGTTTTGAACGGGAGAGTCCAGTATTTGGGCCGTCTGTTTAAAAAACAAATTCAGAAAATATGAAAGTCTGGGGCTGGGTCTACACTGGTGCGATCTCGCACAAAAACTTGCTGCCTGTCTACACTGGCCGCGTGATCGCAAGTAAACTGATGTTCTAATGTCTGAAATCAGGGCTTCTTGCGCCAGAACGCTGACCCTCCCGCTGGGGAAGAAGCCCTTTTGCGCAGCTGTTCTTGCACAAGAGGCCGGTGTAGACAGGCAACATGAATGTCTTGCGCAAGAAAGCCCTACGGTTAAAATGGCCATCAGAGCTTTCTTGCACAATAGAGCGTCTACACTGGCATGGATGCTCTTGCGCAAAAGCACATGGCAGTGTAGACTCTCTCTTCTGGAAGAGTTCTTGCGCAAGAAGCTCCCAGTGTAGACATAGTTTCTAAATAAGATGTAATGTTAATTTTGATGTAATTTCAAGTGTGTCTGGTATTTTTGTGGAAACCATCTGGCAACCCTACCTGAGAGCCAGCTGGGTTTTAGCTCACGCAGTAGAGCAGGGGTGGGGAACCTTTTTTGGGGTCAGGGGCTGCTGACCCAAAGGAAAAAAATCAGAGGGTGGGCACACACAAAAAGAAAACAAAAAGGGGCAAACTCTCATTGACTGGTCCCCAAACTGAGAAGAAGAAAGACACTCCCCACGTTCCCCTCACACACCAGAGCCTAGGGAGGCCCAGGTGAGTAGATTTTGTATGCTCCTGCTCCACTGTGGGGCAGCAGAGAGGCTGGAGTGCCACAATGGACTCCCCAATGCTAAGGGAGCTATGAGTCTCAAAGGCCCGATCCAGGCAAGCCATGGTCTGCATCCCACCCTTGGGCCTTAGATTCCCCAGCTCTGCACTAGAAGCTCATGCGCTAAACTACAGCAATCCCCGGTTTGGTTCCGCCTGTCCAGGTTACAGAGTTACACACACATGGAGGTGCCTGGAGTTTGAAACTCCAGAGGTTAGTGAACACTTGGGAGAAGTGATGTCTTTGATCAAAGTTCAAGACCAAGAGCTCTTCAAGTGAGGCATAGGTAGAGGTCACAGTACACTCTGCTGGGAGCCTAAAAAGTCCTCTAGCAGTAGCAGATCCAAAGGAGACCAATTTTTACATTCATGTTATTTTTAAAGTAAACAAGCAGAGGGGAAAAGAAACAAATATATTTATAAGGCACCCAGGTACCTTTGTGAATTTCCATGTCCTCCTATTCCTTGCCCTTGCTCTGCACTGCCTTTTCCCCCAACTAATGCAACCCAGGGGACAAGCAGGGCCAGGGTGCTGGCAGCTGGTGTCCAGCCCCCCCCCCTCCCACACACACACAACTATCCCGGCTTGTTCTGCTGTCCCAGCATGTTGCTTGGAGAAGGGGCGGCATACCCTCACTTTCAGCAGTGGGAAGCAGAGCAAGCTAAAGCTGCATAACTCCGCTTCCCTGCCCCCACCACTGCTGGTGAATGCAGGGGGATTGGATCCCTGCTACTGGCATCATGCCCTCCCCTGCTAACTCCCCTGGATGCCCAGAGACTGGGCCCCGGGACCATCCCACCCCTTGTGTGAGGTGTACGTGCCCTCTCCTGGTTCCCTGAACGATACCCCTGTCTGAGGCAGACACCTGAAAAATTTCAACCTGAACAAGTAAGGTTTAGTAACATTAACAGCAACTGAAAATTGGGTCTTACAAGGAAGTTCTTAGGCAACCTTAACTGTGGGTAGTGCTACCAGCTCCATCTAGAATGTGTTCAAGTAACTTCAGTATTAAAGAAAATTCTAACTGCACATAAAGGACTAGATTCTGTAAACCATCCTTCAAACAGTGCAGGATGGTAGGTTGTTTTTTTTTTAAATGTATGCAAAGGTTGGTTTTAACCCAACCTTGTTCTCGCTCTGTAGGTATGGCTGCTGTATGCTGGCCTGGAGCCACACTATCAATTAAGGGATAAAGGTCTGTGTTGTAGAGCTAAAGATTCCAGTCCAGCTGATGATCTATAGGGGGAGCTGGTATGATTTCATATAAAAGAATGTGTTTTTTTTATTTTAGTTTCTTCTTTAAAAGATCTAGGAAATTACATATACACACGCACATTAAAATAATGTTAATCTTGTATCTTGGGTATTGCTAAAGCAGGGTTCCTGTTGAAAACAGGGGTACCTGATCACATAATTAAAGGATTGTTTCATAATGCATATGCAGAAGGGGGCCAAATCAAATTGCATGGGCAGCTTTAATTCTACAGTTGACTTCCAATAATCTGGCACCTTTGGGATTTAGGTGGTGCCAGATTATCGGATATGCCGGAGTATCAGGAGGTACTGCATACTCCCAACCCAATCTCCCTACCTCCCCTCCCCCCCCAAATCATCTGGCTGGGACACCATGAGTAACCCAATCCTCCTCCCCTTAGCAGAACACTTCTGCTCCCTGCTATAACCCGATCCCACTCCCCCACCCCAACCTTACGATTGGTCGGATACAGCCAGCACATGTGCTAAGGGGCCGGCTTTTCCAGAAGCTGGCCAGGATGCCATAAGTAATCCAATTCCCCTCCCCTTCTTCTTAGAAAAACACTTCAGCTCCCTGCTGTGACCCAGGTAAGAGCAGCTGACCTGAGCAGTCCCGGTTCCATCAGAAGCGCTTGCCATTTTGATCCCGGACTATCGGGAGTGCTGGACAATCGGGTGCCTGACTATTGGAGTTTTACTGTATTATTTCTTAACTGTCCAATGCTTGCTTTTGTAATTTTAACTGAGTTTTTTTTAGTCCATATAAATATATATAGTACATGAGAAATTAATTAGTGATACACTTCTGCATTTTAGTTACCAGATTTAAACCTAGGCTGAAGGAGGGACAGATGACCATATGGCTAAACACTGGATTAGATCTCAAATAGCTGGGATACATTGTTGTCTCTGCCAAAGGCTTTCTGTGAGACACAGAGAAAGTCATTTAATTTCCCCTGCTTCAGTTCTCCATTTATAAAATCAGATAATATTTTCTCCCAACACTTTTCTCTGTCTAATTTAGGTAATGATATGTTCTAGAAAGCACTGACTCTTAATATGTTTATGAAACAATGCACTATGAGGATCCAATCTTAGTTAGGACCTGTAGATACTACCATAATACAGTTAATAAGTATTGAAATTGGTGAGTTAAAGGACAGATTTAATTGAATACTCTTTGAATGTCTTCTTTAGATAACTGAATTGATTAATAGATTTTTAGGACCAGAAGAAATGATTGTGATCATCTAGTCTGACCTCTCTAATAAGTCATCCCCAAAATAATTCCTATTACCGTATATATCTTATGTAAACATTGTTGAGCAATCTCTATCACTGACAATACTTGGTACATTTTTCCAGTGTTAAAAATGTACACCTTATTTCCAGGTTGGCTGGAAGTTGAAACTAAAAAAATTCATTCATAAGAAGTGGGTACAAGAAGCAGGGGAAGGCATTGCCGTCCAAGACAGAGGCATGGCCCTGCCCACACTTGGCCTCCACAGCACCCCTGCTTCATTGCTGCTCTGGAGCTGCCCCCAGCTCCAGCCACGCAGAAGCTGTGATTGCATGCCACCTGTCTTCCCCCTGTTCTAGGACCAGGGGAGGGTTCACATGGCGGGCTGGAGGCCTGCCCTGTGGTGGGGCGAGGGCTTGACTGCTATTGGGTAGAGGGCTTGAGCAAAAGAAGCAAGGCTGGAGGCTTGACTCCCCAACCCAAGGTTCACTTACTACCCATGCAGCCATTGGCTTGTGTTAAACATTCTCCACTATACTCAGGAGCCCATTATTAAATATTTGTTCTCCATGTCAATACTTATCAATAGTAATCAAATTATCCCTTAACCTACTCTTTGCTAAGATAATCAAATTTAACTCTGAGTCTGTCACTATCAGCATGTTTTCTAATCCTTTAGCTTGTTCTTGGGGCTCTTGTTCAGACCTTCTCCAGTTTTTTAGCATCATTGAATTGTTGCTACCAGAACCAGATTCAGAATGGTACAGTTATTCTAGCAACGGTGTCCAGTGCCAAATACAGACACAAAATAACCTCTCCACTCCTATTTGAGATTCCCTTGTTTATGCATCCTACAATCACAATTAGCTCTTTTGTTCAGAGCATCACCCTGGGACCTCACATGCAGCTGAGTGCATTCGTTGTTCCTAGATTTATACATTTAGCCATATTAAAACCCATATTGTGTGCTTGCACACAGTTTATCATGTGTTTCAGATTGGTTTGTCTGTTAACCCAAAAATAGAGGGAGTGGTAATCTACAAACTATACCAGTGATGATTTTTTTTCACATTAATACAAATATTAAATAGCTTAGAGCCAAAAAGAAATTTCCATGGGACCTCACTGGAGACATACTTGCTTAATGATATATTGCAAAATATAGCTGTAAACAGGGAACTATCAGCCAGCTTTTAATCCATTTAATGTGTGCTCTGTTAATTTTATATTGCTCTGATTATTTAATCAAAATGTCATGCAATACCAAATCAAATACCTTAGAGAAATCAATACCACTCTGCCAGCACTGTTACCATTATCAGTAACATTTTCAGTGTCATAAAAAAGTATCAAGTTGTTTGAGATGTTCCATTCTCCATAAGTGCATATTGACTTGCATTAATGATATTATCCTCTGTACTGGGTTGGCAGCAATCCCTTCTCCTCTGGCTCTGTGGGAAGCCACTACATCTCTGTGATGTTGCCCCCTAGCTGGGATTAGAACTCCCACCACTAGGCAGGATAGCACAATTTAATCATTTTAAGGCCCAGGCAGGGCAGAGCGAACAAGTAATTGGAAGCTCAGATTATTAAGCAGGGCAAAGCATCAAGAGACTGCCTAGGTCCTCTGGCCCCAACCAGGGCAGAGCAAACAAAGAGCAGTTAGAGAAGAAACAGGCAACCCAGGAGCAGATGGAGTAAACAGGCCTCTTTATTGCGGATACTAATTCTCCTCAGACCCTCAACACAATCTGCCAAGTGAGCAATGATTTGGCACCAGTCACACTCCTTTATCCATTTTAGTATGTTAATTCACACATCTATCACTACTTCTCCTAAATCCTTATTTAGTAATTAATATTAATAGGCAGATGATGATTAATATTATATTCCACCAGTTTACTGTTTACAGGATTTTCAGTTAGATCAGCACTTTTCTACATTACATACTTCCCAAATCAGCAGGTTACAGAGATTACAAAGGATGTTACCCTGAAAGTATTTTTACAGAGCAAGTTGGAATAAGCAAGAGACAGAGACAACATTGTTCAGTCCAACTATCTTTCTAGGCTGAAAGAATGAAGGAAAAAGGCATATATTTATACATCAGAAAGGACAATACCTGCTCTGGCCAGACCCTTTATCAATCTTTCCAGGCTGTAAGGATGAAGGGGAAAAAACATGTTCAAAGGACAATGTCTGCTCTGGTCGGACCCTACCACTAATGTATAGCCATCTCAGACACCTATTCTTACATATCCCAACAACAGCCTGACTTCCTGGCTCTTGCAGATGGCAGACAAATGCAGACCTCTTAGCCTAAGGTAGAGAGGCTGCCACCCCACGGGAGGAGTTGGCAGCAAGAGGATCCAGGGCTACCCTATTCCATGAAGCCAGCCTAGCACTAGCAGTGGCCCAATCCTCCTCTGGTGGGTCATTAGGGATACTACCTCAACACACTGAGCTGGATTCAGGCAACAGCCCAATTAGGCTATAGATTAGTGTTCCTCAGCTCCTTCCTACTCTTCCTCTAATGTACCTGTGGCTGGCTCAGGGTTATCTGCCATCTCTTTGAGGTATACACCAAGTGGTAGTTCTGACAGGTCTTCACCTGGGTCAGTCTCTTCTACTGGCAGGGTATGACATAGTGCAGTGCAGGTTCTGTTCCAGGAATCTGCAACAGCCTAGAAACACCTGCTCACTTCCCTTGCTCAGATTCAGCTGGGTTAGAGGCTCTGTCTTTTGCACTAGCTCTCCTTCCCCTTTTGCTTCTGATAGGGGAGGCAAGTCTGGCTTGGCTCTGTCCACCAGGGATCAGAGATTAGTTCCTCCACCTCACTGAGAGGCCACTCCGCCTCATTGTCTTCCCCTCCCCAGCCCTTTAAATTCTTTATCACTAGAGTCCTGTATCAGCCACTCCGTTATTGGGCACAGGATCAACCTCAGTCTGACAGGTTTATAAATATTTAGGTCATCCTATTTACTCCTTTTAAAGATTGGAACATTATTAGCTTTCCTCTTAACTTCTGGAGCTTCCCCATTTTTCCAAGGCTTACTGAAAACCGACTGTCCCTATCCAATGGCTTCCTCAGCGGGCTCTTTTAAAACTCTTGGGTGCAAGTTAATTGGACCTACTGATTTGAAGATTTTTAACTGTTATAGCTGCTGTTAAACATTCTCCAGAGATACAAATGCAATGGAAAATGTTATCATTATATAGTGAGACTATTGTTTGTTTCCCCCTCAAATACAGAACAGAAATATTCATTAAACTGTTCTGCATTATTACTAATAGTTCTACTGTAGCCATATACTAATGGACTAATACCATTGCCAGGATTCCATTTTGTTCCTAATATATATTTTTAAACCACCTTATTGTCCTTAACTGAGCTGGCCATAGATTTTTCCCTTTACCTTCCTTATTGATTTTCTACAATTCCTAGGTTCTGATTTATATTCATTACCTTCAGCTTCTTCCTCGCCCTACCCCCTACCCCACCCTTTTTTTTTTAAATAGTGCCATTCACTTCCCTGCTAAACCAGGTCAGTTTTCAAAACAGTACAGCCTTCTGTCTTGAGTGAGGGATTGTGGCTTTTGGGGCATCTAGTAAGGTGTTCTTAAATGATTCCTAATTAGGGATGTAATAGTGAAGTTGATTAACTGATAAGCAAAAGCATTAGATTAATGCTATAGATTACATGCATTGTCCCCTGCCCTCACCAGTAAATATTTTAGCAGATTGGCCAGCCGCCCAGCTCAGTCCTAGCTTGCAGCAGGTCTAAGATCTACCCCTGCTGAAGCTCTGTATTGAAAGTGCTTTAGGATACAGGCAGACAGGCAGCTTGGCTGAGTTCTGGTTTGCACTGGATCTGGAAGCTCAGATCCCCCTGGACAAGGGCTACTGCCACCTCACACTGCTGCCTCTGTATCAGAGGCAGCAGCATTGGGCGACAGGTAGCCAGTCCACGGAGAGAACTGGTTTTTAAACTGGCTTTTCTTGCAGACCAGCTCCTGCCTGGCACCCCACACTACAGAGGCAGCAGCATGGAGTGGCAGGGGACTCCTTGGGAGTGGAGCCGGAGCACAGTGTCTGCCAGCTCTGCTCCTGGGCACTATAGAATAGTCGAGTAACTGATAAGAATTAATGATTACTCAACTATTCAATTAACCAATATTTAACATCCCTATTCCTAATGATCACTTTTTGATTATATTCTTCCTTCCAACTGATTTGTCTTAATTGTTTTCAGCTTTGTGAAATTGGCCCTATTCAAGCACCAGATGTATGTCTATTACTGGTCTAGACTTTATTCTCTCCTTTAGTTTCTCATACCATAAGATTTAGCTGCGCCACCTACCTGTGTACATTTATATACTGTATTTGTTAATATCTGATAAACCAAAAAGGATTCAACTATCTTTAAATAAAGCTTCCCTTTGTCATCAATAAACTGGATTATACTAATTAGAAATAGTTTCTTACTGACTGAAGAAATAATTCTTCAAGATGATTTGATTCTTCTGGAGAGTATGTAATCTCTGTGGGGAGCAATTTGCAGAAGGTACAAAACTGATAACTGAACTAACACACCATTTTATTGCCATTGTTTTGGCTATGCTGTTCTGTATAGAATACAGTAGAACCTCAGAGTTACAAACATCAGTTTTACGAGCTGACCAGTTAACCACACACATCATTTGGAATAAGTAGTATGCAGACTGGCAGCAGCAGAGACACCCCTCTGCCGCCCCCCCCAAAAAACAACCCACCCCCCCCGGAACCTACCCCCCAGTACTGTGTTAAACATAAACTACTAAAATAAAGGGAAAGCAACATTTTTCTTCTGTACAATGCAGTTTCAAAGCTGAATTAAGTCAGTGTTCAGTTAAAAACTTTTGAAAGAACAAATCTAATTTTTTGGTCCATTTCTAACATTTCACAAGTATGAACAACGTCTGTTTATGAGGCATTTAACTCTGAGGTTCTATTATAAGTTATTCATCGCTTTGTATTCCTTTGCTTGCTTCTCTATGGCCTTGTCTACATTACAGAGTTAAGTCAAGATAAGCTGCCTTGCATCGACCTAGATGTGGAAGTGTCTTCACTTAGGCTAGTCTGTGCTCCATACATACTTCGGTATGACTACATCGCTCAGAGTTGTGAAAAATCCACACCCCTAAGATAGGTATACTGACCATAACCCCTTAGCGCAGACAGCGCTATGTTGGTTGGAGAGCTTCTCCCAGGGACATACCTATCATCTCTTGTGGAGGTGGAGTTAAGCTGACAGGAGAGCTGAGCGCTGACCCATCTGCTTAGAGCAGTGTTCCTCATTGCAAGACCCACCAGCCAATGAAAACTCCTGTAGACTCTGAGCCTAGCTACAGTTCCCTCTAAGCTGTTCAGCCATGCAACAGGCTATAAATAGCTGTATAGCAGCTCTAAAGGGCCATGCTACAAGAATCTAGAAAGGAGAATGATAAGGGTGGGTGGGAACTGGGGAGGGGAGAAAGTTGGGGCTGGCAGGACAGTTGTGTCTCCCCCCCCGGCCTGGGAGCCTGCTGCTGTTAGGAGAGAGACAGGCCCTTCCTCGAGAGCTCCAAGCTGCTTGCTGGTGGCAGGGACGAAATGCTCCTTCCTCCAGAGCTCCATGCTACTTGTCGGCAGAAGAGAGAAAGACACCCCTTTTCCAGAGCTAGATGCTGCCAGCAGGGTGAAGACTGGAGGGAATCCTCTGGCCCCAGCCACAGAGCAGCTTGCCTGCACCCTAAATTCACACATGGGAACAGACACACTTTAGCTCAGCCTTTTGCATTATTTCACTCTTTAAAAGCTTACTTGCATAGATTCCTTTGTAATTCCATTTATTTTCCTGGTTAATATTTTATAAAAGGCACATCATTTTATTGTACAAGTAGACTTTGTTTTAGTTACATGAGTGGCTCTAACATTACATCATTAAGGAACAGTAAGCAGTATGTTAATTTAGTAGTTGATGGGACTCTCACATTGAAGTTTTTTTTGCCAAAGTGGCCCCTGCTTCAAAAATAGTGAAGAGCACTAGATTAAATCATCTTCCCCAAAAGCACAACAGCAACATGGTGAGAGGTAAGGGACTCTTTGCATAGACCAGATTGCTGGCTTTCAGTCTTAGACTGTCAACTCTTCAGGGCAAAGATAATGACATCACATGCTTGTAAAGCTCCGAGCACAATGACCTGTCAGAATTGGAGTTTCTAGTCACTACTGTAGTTAGACTGTAAATTAGCAGACTATCATAGAATCTCACTGAGGGGTGATTCTAGGTGAATCTGAAAACAACTAAAGACAAATGTTTTGCTTGGCTGTTGATAAATAGAGGTCCTGATCCTGCTCTCATTAATGGGAGTTTTGTTAGGAACTTCAATTTGAATCAGGATAAAGCTCATAAGAGCAGGAGAGAGAACTTTCTTGGGGGTTGATCCAATATTGTGAAAGGAGCTCCCTCAAGAACTAAGGACCATCACAAACTTCAACATGTTCTGGCCCACGTGCCTGGAGCATTTTCTAGACCTGCCTTTTCTAAAAAGCACATAGCAACAACAGTGCCTGGTGTATAAATATTATATATTTATTAAAATGCCAAAAAAGGACTCCACATTTTCCCCCTTGAGATAGTGTGTCAACAAACACACAAGACAGCTATTAATCTCATAAAAGGTGTCAGGATACTATGGCATTGAGTGTGGAAAAGGATATAGGATAAGTTTTAGGGATTTTAACTCTATTGACACACCTGAAGTAAAGTTTAGCCATTTACTCACCATTCTCATGTGCACAGGTCATCATTCAACCCAGAGAGCTGAAACCACAAATAGCTCTGCAAGGGAGCAACTCACATACTGTATACTCTTTCAGTTGGAAGAGTGGTACAGATATGCACAAGCCAGTCTTATCACTTTGCCACAGCCAGGTCTCTCAGGCCTTATTTCTATGCAGATTTCATACCAGTATTACCATTTTGTGTGTGTTTACTGAAGTTATAGTTGTAGACCCCCCTACTCTGGTGTGGACAATTATACAGATATAAAAGGTACCTTTTACCTATATTCATTTTCTTTATAGAAATAGTTATTCCAGTATACCCAGTATTCCATTTATACCCAATATAACTTCATCCTGCACAATCAGCTTCACCTAGGTTGTCTGAAGACCCTGATGAAGATAAGATTGTAAGACAAGGTCCCAGATACTCCTACAAGCAGAAGTTCCAAGCATTTATACATTAATGGGCAGGCCATGTCAACAGAGTATTAGATAAGTGACTATCAGAGAATTTACAGCAAATTAAAGGAAGGAGGCCAGGAAACATGTCAAGGAGGCCCTTAAATTATCCTTCTGGTGTTTCAACATTGACCAATAATTTTGGAAAGATCTCACTTGTGATTGTTTTACCTGGAAAAGCCTTATCCATACTGGAACTACACGGGGTAGGGGAAGAGAAGTATAGAGCCAAAGCAGAAGCTCCAGTAGCATGAATCTCAATGCAGCACGTCTGCTGTTAATCATGGAACACACAGCAGCATTTCTTGTTAAGTGTGCCACCAACAATTCAAAGCTCAAATTGGCCTGATTAGTCACTCGAGTGGTCACAAAAATCAAGCCAACTGGTTAGTGATTAACAGGAGTGTGGCAAGCAGGATACGAGAAGTCATTCTTCTGCTCTACTCTGCGCAAATTAGGCCTTGTTTGGAGTACTGGGTCCAGCTTTGAGCACCACATTTCAAAAAGGATGTGGAAAAATTGGAGATGATACAGAGAAGAGCAACAAAAACAATTGAAGGCCTAGAAAACATGAGTTGTGAAGGAAGACTGAAAGAATTGGGCTTGTTTAGTTTAGAAAAGAGAAGACTAAGAAGGGACATGATAGGAGTTTTCAAGTATCTAAAAGAGTGTTACAAGGAGGAGGGAGAAAAATTGTTCTCCTTGGCCTCTGAGGATAGGACAAGAAGCAATGAGCTTAAATTGTCAGGGTGGTCAAATATTGGAATAAATTGCCAAGGGAGGTGGTGGAATCTCCCTCTCTGGAGATATTTAAGAACAGGTTGGATAGACATCTATCAGGGATGATCGAGATGGTGCTTGGTCCTGCCGTGAGGACAGTGGACTGGAGTTGATGATCTCTCGAGGTCCCTTCCAGTTGTAGTATTCTATGATTCTGTGTCATGTTCATCTTTGAATTCAAAAGGATAAATAAAATCCATACGAGGGGGAGGTAAAACCACTTTAGTTATACCCACATACTTAAGTTCAAATTGTATATGTAGACAAGGCTTTCACTATTTCATGCCTTTCTCCAAAGTCTGAATTTTAGTTGGGAGAAAGATTTGAAGCAAATTTACAAGTCTAGAGTGGGGTTAATAAGTTACCTGCTGTGAGTATCATTAGACATCAGAGCACTAAATGGCACATACTAAGAAATACTAGAAAATAAAGTCAGTCTCACCTTAAAATAAAACAATGCAGCACGCGGCAATAGTAATACTTTGGTTGAGGGAACAAGGCTGCTGGGTAAATACAAAATTCTAGTTAATTAAGAGGGAGGGTGTTTGGGTATGGAAGGGAGCTTAGGGCTAGAACACAGGAGGCATTTTGGGGTGTGGGATCCAGGCAGCTCCTCACAAGCAGCAACATGTTCTTGCTGCTCCTAGGCAGAGGCACAGTCAGGCAACTCGGCACACTACCGTAGCCCACAGATGGCACCCCTGCAGTTCCCACTGGCCACAATCCATGGCAAATGGGAGCTGTAGAGCAGCAGAGTCCTGGTGGCCGTTCCTCTGAAAAGCATTGACTTCAGCCAGTGGAAGCTGCAGGGGAGGTGCCTGTGATCGGAGGTAGCATGCACAGCTCCATCTAGAAGCAACAGGGATATACTATCACTTGTGGGGAACTGTCTGAGGTGAGTGCAGCATTTCAAAACTCCTGCACCTCTACCCTCTGCTCCAAGTTCCTT